TTCAAGGTGGAGGGTGACTGCCCAGGTGAGGGGGCACCCAAGGTTCAGCTCACATGCGTAGGAGTTGGATTCAGCAATCTGGCAAAGACGACATCTTAGCATCATCACTACATTGTCATCGTCCTGCCCTTATCAGTCCTTTGACCTTGTTTCATTGAAACCATACTTGTAAATAAAAGTTGTCATGTTTACTCTGCATGAATTCACCTCAGTGCTGTTTGTTGTAATTTAAGAAAAGTAGTTTGACTAATAGAAAGGGCTGATATACAGTACCCTGTCGAGCAGTGTTGAATACGATTTGCAACAGCGTATTTGCCGACTATTGGATGAGCCTTTGAATATAATTGCAATGCGAAATAATTCCAAGATAATCAAGCAACACACAGGGTGCTGACAATAGAATTTCTTTTTTTTTTTATAAATCGCATGACAAAACATGACAAAAGGGCAGAGCAGGGACAAACAAGCGTCAACTTGCAAGTGGGTTTATTGGGCTTCTGGGTGTTTTTTTCTTGTGCCCATAGGCTGTGTATATAGACTTCTTCATTAGTGGGACCCAATTTTAGTAGCTGCACTCTATCAACTTTTAGTTTAAGGATAGCTATAGCCGGTACCCAGCTCCAATAAGAGACCACGAAAAGCGAACCAACTTGTGCTGCTTTGCTTATACACTAACACAATGCTGTACCAGGCAGTAATGAAGCACTTCAATCCTACGATCACTGGCATATGCCAACACTGCCGTGGGATGGCTGGCAGCTATCACATAGTGTGGGCCTGCCTCAAAAATTCAGCACTCGTCATCAGCCCGAAGCCTACCAGAGAGGACTAAAAAGCAGCTTTGCTGAGTCGCTCAGACGTTTAGGTGCAGGATGCCTTGGTCAAAAGGGCCATACTGATGGCTTCAACCAATAGGGTCCCAAACGAGGGAATTGAACCAGTATGTACGGCATCTGCGTGAGTCCACTTCTGTCACTGTAAATGTTTTTCACTGGCACCCTCCCCCCTCCCCTACGTTGGTTCAATCCTACAGAAATCGAGGTTTGCAGAAAATGAAACATTCACGTCCTTCTTACCAAAACCTGATTTCATTCTCGTGATTCATTTGCGTTCGAGTCATCTCGGGCGAATGCATGAAAAACCCTGAGTGTTTTTTTATTATTATCGCAACAGTAATGCATGAAGGTTACGAAATAGTAATGGTTGTATTCAACCAGCAGATTGAGAAAAATAATAAAAATGAAACCCTCGTGGAATAAAACAGTTCCAGAGTTTTCAATCGACTTATTCGAAAAGAACAGATAAAATAATTTGTCTGGCGCTTGGCAACACCAAAAGCGGGATCTCCTAGATATAAACTTATGCGGACCATTATGATACACCCGTGGTTATTGCTTAATATATAAAAATAAAAAAGAAAAAAAGGTTTTATTGTATTTAGTCAAGCCAAAGTTTCCAGTTTGAATTAAAAAATATCGCTGAGCTAAGGTAAATCGGTGGCGAATGAGAAGTGGTATGAGGTATATAAGGGAAGCGGTGGCAAAAAGAATTTTTTGTCCAGCAGAGGGAAGGAAGAGTCTGCAACAAATACAAGATTACGGTCGAACCCACATCAAACACTCTGAGATAGGGAATTAGTTCGATATTACGTATGATTCCATAGAAAACTTTTCAATGATTTACCATATTTTCGATGCAAATTTCAGAACACAAGTTGGTTTCATGCCATTGTTTGACCTGATAATGCAAGGAAGAGGACTTGTGGCAATACGCATAGATTTAAAAAAAATTGTTCTCTAGTTTGTGGGGATGCGAGTTATATGTGGTGGTGGCTTGTAGACGAGAAGATATGATATTCATGATGATATTAGGACTGAAAAGTTCTAATACGCAGCTGTGCGTGCTCGTCGGGTGGCGGGAGCCTTTAATCTGCTCGGTTTTCTTCCCGGCCGTGACTGTCACATTTAGGCAGACGAGAAACGCTAGAGGCCTGTGCACTGTGCAATGTGGGTGCATGTAAAGAAAACCAGATGGTTGAAATACTGGGGGCTCTTCACTGCAGTGTCCCTCATAATCACATTCTGGTTTTCGGAGGTTAAACCCTAGATATTGAAAAAAATTGATTGAAAACACGAGACTTGCCACAGAGCGGGTGTTTTGAAGGCCCACAAAGCGCCCATACATGTTTAATCACCACCAGATACGAAATTGTCAACAAGGTGGGCAGCTGCATAGGTTCTAATGTTGTCTTAGGGATAGATAGATATATGGGGTTTAACGTCCCAAAATTACCATATGATTATGAGAGACGCCGTAGTGAAGGGCTCCGGAAATTTCGACCACCTGGGGTTCTTTAACGTGCACCCAAATCTGAACACACGGGCCTACAGCATTTTCGCCTTCATCGGAAATGCAGCCGCCGCAGCCGGCATTCGATCCCGCGACCAGCGGGTCGGTAGCCGAGTACCTTAGTCACTAGACCACCGCAGTGGGGCATGTTGTCTTAGGGACTCAATCTTGGCTCTTCACTGATTAGCAAAAGGAAAAAGAATTGTGGCGCAGTGGGAACTGTATTTGTAGTAGACATGCATTCTAGGATTGTTTCAAATGACCGATGGCATGGGCACAGACATTCGCTCCCTTGAGGCATGGATGAGGCATACATGCAAGATGTACCGAAGCGAGCCTAGCTGTTGAGAAGGCAACGCACACGTGACCTGATTACACTCTCATGCTCTACTCTTCAAGGTGAAGCTCGAACGGCCTTCAGGTTTTAGTTTTTGTTGCTCCATCACAGTTGTAATGATACGTCGGAAATTAGTATTGTAATCTGCTGAATTTATTGAACTGAACGTCTAACGTGGAGTCTTCTTGCCTTTGCACACGAGCTCGTGTCTAAATGTGCCAGTCACGTTGTAGGTAAGCATATCGCCGTGCACTTCCAGTCCTTCCGTGTGGTTTTTGAGGCTGATTATGTTAATTGTGTCGTGTTTCGGCATATCTCCTCTCACATCTTCAAGATAATAGGCAATATATCCGTTGAATGTGGTCTTAGCACTGAAGTTGCATTGCTGAAAAATGAAATGAAAACAGAACCTTATGAAATAATTGATTCGAAAGTAAATCAATCTATGCACAAAATAAGGAAGGTTTGCAAGGGCACAATGAAATAAAAACAACAAAAAAAAAAACACTAGACTCCTCATCAACATTCACGGTATGCGGGCAGTTATTTCAAGGGAATCAGTAAAGCAAAAAATAACTCTTGTGTAATTATGTGTATGGCAAAATGCACTTGAAAAAGTATGGTGTGGCAATGAAATAATGGGAAGATTACGCATAGCTCTTTTTTCTAAAAATTCATAGGAGAACATTACAATCATCAAGTTTAGCAGCAGCTATTCATCTATAAATTATTCATTGAGAGACATCATATTTTCGGTGATGACCACAAATGTATATTGATTGATTTGTGGGGTTTAACGTCCCAAAACCACCATTTGATTATGAGAGACGCCGTAGTGGAGGGCTCCGGAAATTTTGACCACCTGGGGTTCTTTAACGTGCACCCAAATCTGAGTACACGGGCCTACAACATTTCCGCCTCCATCGGAAATGCAGCCGCCGCAGCCGGGAATCGGACCCGCGACCTGCGGGTCAGCAGCCGAGTACCTTAGCCACTAGACCACCGCGGCGGGGCGACCACAAATGTATAAATACATATCTCTATTATATGAGCTATTTACAATAGGGCACCTCTATCATATACAAAATTTTGGGGATCCTTAAGCTTCACATTGAAGATTTTAATGCAATAGTGATATTCTATATGTAGTACGTACCGAGTTCAAAATGACCTGTGCCAGTGAAGCTTTCGCATATGGCTGCATTCTGTGCAATGGGTAGCATGCTTTAAACCACAGGCAACTGTGTACGTGAAATCTTTTTGAACTGGTTATGCACTCACTACGTGGCCTTAAGGGAACGGTGCAGTAACGTGTGTGCCTTTTGGAGTGGGTGGCCCACTTTAAGCTATGAACTCATGAAAATCGCATGTTCTTACGCCAGACTATGTAAGCTTGTAGCACGCATTGTTACTGCGATATAACAAGTTGCATTCTGAAGCATGTAAACAGGACGGGTGTGTTTGTAAAGCACGCATTGGGACGTTAAACCCTGCATATCGATCGATTGTAAAGCACGCAAGTTACTTAAACTGCATTTCAAGCGGAGGAAGCTATGCTCACTGTATTAACTCGACAGCTCTAAAGAGCTCATTTCACAGAAATTCCGGTGTTGGCGTCTGTGTCGGCGTTGCTGTTGTTGGTTATGAGCAAAAAATCATCTTGTGTGTGACCAAAAAATGAAAAAACATGCAAATAAAATAAATAATAAAACATTCAGGGTCTGCGTGAGGAAAGAGCTTGGCTCAGTAGCATGGCAAACGACCATAGTCTTCTCCCACAGAACCACGCGTCTGCTTGGAAATAAAGTGAAAATAACTTCCTCGGCTTGGAAATGCAGTGAAACTAACTTTCCTGCTTTACAAATGCACGGCCCTGTCCTGCATACATGCTTCACACTGTAACATGCACTATCGCAGTAATAATGCGTGGTACAAGCGTACATTGCGATCGGGCATCAGAACATGCGATTATCATGAATTCATGTTTCAAAGCAGACCACCCACTACAAAAGACACACACTTTACTGCGCCTTTTCTCTTAAGGCCATAAATGGGTGCATTAACCCAATAATTCCCAGTATGAGAAACATTTTTTCAAACTTCAAAATATTTCTTTGCCATGCTCTTAGAGTCACTAGGAGTACAAATGTTCAATAAAAAACTTGAAGATATAGTCTGCAAGTTATTAATGGGATGTTGCATATGTGCAACAATGGGCAGTAGTGTATAAAACGGACGCCAAGACAAGTGAAAAAAAAAACTTTTTATTGCCACCAATTATTTGGAAAATTTTCAAATTGAAGAAAGCACAAAACTGAAGCATAGCTGTTTGGCGCCTACTGGTGAAAACTAACAAAACAGTTACAGTCTTTGTTGAAACACAATATCACCTTACACTTGGCACACGAAACATAGGTGTACCCTCCTGGGCATGTCTTACAGCGGTTCCGTTTTGCATTCCATGTGGGCCAGTGCTCCTTGCTGTCTCTTCTGACATCCCGGGGGACATTTAGGCACACTTTCTTGAATGGTGTGACATTCTGAATCGAAGGGCGCCCTGGTGGTCGTTTGTTGAGTAAGATCAGACTTGTTTCGAGCTCAGAGAGAAATTCTCTCAAGGATGTAGGCGGCCGTTTGTGCTGCTGGAGAATTCTCTTGTGCATGAACCATGCATTAACAGCTGATATTTTGAGCGTGTGCCAAAACAAATATATATACCAGCGTTTAGACCTGTTAGAAAAGCGATAGGAGAAGCCCATTTTGTCAAGAAGATCCACGCCACCCATTGATCTGTTGTAGGAAGGAATGATCGCTGGACAATCGAAAAAAATGTGCTTTTTCTCCTTGCTGTCCCACCTTTTGACTGATGTAAGCGAGTCATCACCAATGCAGTTCGAAAGAAGAGTAACAGTGCGGTTGTCATGCCACTTCGCTGCCGCCATTGTCTTTTGGTCACACAAAGTGACTGAAGTATCACAGGTGCCCCGACCTTGCTTTTTCATCAATTTCTCATCCATCAACTTGCCGCAGCTCAGTCTGTTTTCACGAACCGTACCAATATAGGAAATTCCCATTCTTGAAAGCTCCTCTACAAGCTGAGGGCCTGTGAAGAAGTTATCAGCGACGACTAGGTTGTCGTCGCGCTTCGGTAGGCTGGAACACAGCTGGAGCACGACAGCAGCTCCCAACCCAAGCTGGTAGCCACCCTGGCTGCCATAAAAACCTTTGTTGCAGCGCTGGTAGACATCAAAATCATAACACAGACCTGATTCCCCGGAACGTGCCCAAAGTTTTAGACCCCATTTACTCTTTGGTTTATTAGGCATGTACTGACGAATGTAACACCGCCCACAGAAAGGGATCAAGATTTTGTCCACTGCAGATTTTTTTTTCTTGGGGCAAGACAACCATGTTGCTGCGCAAGGAACTGAGCCATGGGCGCACTTTCCAGCATTTGTCTTCTTTTACTTTGTCATTGGCCGCTTCATTATCGAAAAAATGCAGGTGGCTTGTGATCTTTTCGAATCTGTTATGGGACATTACCTGGGCTACTAATTCATATCTACTTCCATTTTCCCAGTAAGCACGAACCCTGTGTATGTTTACGAGTCCCATCCTGAAAAACATGCCCAGCACAGGTGTAAGTTTTTCTACGGTGAGGTTTAGAGTGGTTCCATGTTTTTGAAAGTAGTACTTATTGCTTTCATCGACGACAGCCTTTAGCATGGATCGAGAAACAAACATATCAAAGTATTCCACTGCACTCAGCGGCTCTGCAGGTGGCAGCGGAAAGTTGTTCTCGAAACTACCTGCCTTGATATCAAAATCCTTCTTCACCCATGTGTACCGCCTTTTCGTGTTCCGCGGTGTTCGATTCCGATCTACAGGAGGCGCATCTGTCGAGGTAGCAACCTCTTCCTCAGCTTCTTTTACCTCAGTTTGGATGGCATCTCCTTCATCACGGCTGTCTCCAGACACTTCTTCGTCACTTTTTTTTCATCAGCGGAAAAATCGCTCTCATTAGGGTCGATAACATCTAGCAGGTTTGCATGAACAAAACGCTTCGGCCTCTCTTTTAGAACAGAATAGAATGTTGAGGTTGAAATTGCAGTATGTCCCTGAAAAATTGTTAAAACAGCAAAATTAGCAAACAAACATCCGTTCACACACTCCAAACGAAGGCGTGTCACGATATGTAAGACGCGTTTTAAGCAGAAAAGCCAAGTTGCATATTTGCAACAATGAAAATTGTGGCATTTAGTGCCCACTGTTGCATATTTGCAACACACGACGTGCAAAAAATATTTTCTTGAACAGAGCAAGCAAAAAACTAACTTTTGGATTCTAGACTACTGTCAAGAGTTTTTCGAACACACATTCAGTGAAAAAAGCAGCGCAGGTTAACTTGAGGGCTCATAAAAAAAAAAATATTTACAGTACCTTGTTTGCGGAGCTCGACGACGACGTGGATGCTGCCATTTTGAAAACTGCAGATACGACGAATGTGGCCCCCAAGCGGCTGAAAATTGTACTGCGTGGAACGAAGAACCCTCAAAATAACATAGTATGAACAACTTATACCGGTGCATCAGGATCCTTGCAATCGGCAGGGCACGGACATAGGTGTTGCAGATATGCAACAAGGGGCAATAATGGGTTAAGCTTGATCAGATTACACAACCACAATTGGCGGTGGTTTAAAGCAAGCTAGCCATTACCCACAATGCAGCCCTATTCGAAGGTTTCAATGACTAGCCATTTCGAACTCAGGGCGTCCTAGCGATCGGATATCGCGTTCAACTCTCATAGCATCTTTGGGAATTGTGCCCCGGAGCAGTCGCAGAACAGTCAAGAATTTCCCTAAAACCAAAAAAGCCCCTGTTGCGTGGAGGGGCAAATGGAATACCAGCCGTTGCACGTCATCTGCTGATCGTCTGCTATGCGCGCGGCACGCAACGAATGCTGAGATTGCACAGCGTCGCTCCGCTGATTTTTTCGGAGCACCTTAGAGCAAAAAAAAAAAAAAAAAAAGAAGAAAAAGGCCCAGACAGGGTGTGCCCTGGTTCCCGAAGACGGTTCTAAAGGGGCACAAATATTCAAGCCAGACGGAGTCCGTGGCAGAAAAAATCGACGTAAGCACAAGGGCCGAGCTAAGTCAGACATAGGCTATATTAACACGCAGGGTGGCAGGAATAGGTTAAAGTGGGAAGAGATAGAAGCGCAGTTGAGGCAGGAGGAGCTGATGGGATATGGGGTTGTGGAAAAACATCTTCGGGACGTGGAGCAACCACCTTGCAATCCGGACTACGTATGGGAATATTGCAATAGTACAGAAGGCAGAAAAAAAAAGGGGTGGAATTTAATTGGTGCATTCATACATAAAAGTATGGGTTGGCAAAGAGTCAAGCAGGAGTTCAAGGAACATTTATGGTTAAAAGGGAAAGTAGCTGGGCAGATGACACTCTTCGGTTTGGTGTACTTGTGGACGGGAGCAAAGGCCAGAGAGGAAAACCAAGCAATGGTGGAGTCTATATCAAAGGACATTGAGGAATTAGGAGGAGAGGGCAAGTTAATTATGCTAGGAGATATGAGTGTGCACATAGAAGATATACATGGGTATACTGACCCAACAGGCAAAATGATCATGGATATGTGTGAAAGGCATGATTTGATCATTTGCAACACTACCGAGAAGTGTGAAAGGCAAATAACATGGGATGTAAGAAGGCTGCAGTCGACGATAGATTACGCACTGATGTCACATAGGACATATGATAAGCTCAGGAGAATGCACATAGATGAAGGTGGCTCTAGAAGTCTGGGTAGTGATTACAAACGTATCAAGCTAAGTTTTGGAAGAGCAGTAAAAGTGGGAAGGAGACCAGATGAGTAACTACAGGAAAAATTTTATTCAGAAAGGCAATTAGAAATAGCTACTAAACAAATTGAGAAAGTAATCACTGAGGATAATAAAACAGTGTGGACATACACAAATCTAATTAGACTGATTGAGCTACAGCTTGCTAAGGCACGTGACAAGTCATCCTGGAAAAGAAGACACAAACCCAAGAGTTGATGGGATGAGGAAGTTAAGAGAGCCATAGCAAAACGTCAGGAAGCCTCTAGGGAACACAGACATGCTAAGCAGCGGAGTGAACCGACAGATGATGTTGAAAGAAAATGGGAAATCTTTCTGAGCTCTAGAAGAAAAGCATCCCTTCTGATCAATGAAAAGATTAGAAAAAAGGGGGCTCAGTGGCTGGCAGAAGTACATAAAAAAGGATAGAAAGGCAGCTGTGAAATTTTGGAACCATCTAATCTCCCTAAGAAATGAGACAAACCTAGAACAGAGGTTTTATAACTACAGCTCAAGGTGCTAGGCTAGAAGGAGACGAAGCTATTAAATATATAAAAACAAGGGTGACAGAAAAATTTCAACAAAGAAGTACTTTATGCAACACAATAGACAAGGACGAATCAAGTGGTGCAATGGCTTCATTTTCACAACAAGAGTGGGAAAGGGCTGAGAAAAGGGTTCCAAGTAGTACATCAACAGGCCCAGACGGCATTCCAATTAGGCTGATAAAGACATTAGGTCCGAAGTCTAAGCAGGCTTTGAGAGAGGCAGTGAGCACAATAATAATCGATGGTGAAGTTCCCGATGGATGGAAACTTAGCAGGATGAGCATGATCTATAAAGGAAAGGGGGACAAAGCTGACATAAACAACTACCGTCCTATAACAGTGACATCAGTGGTCTACAGGCTGGCGATGCAGATTATAAAGGAAAGACTGCAGGTGTGGATAGAGGATGAGGGGGTGCTGGGGGAACTGCAGAATGGGTTTCGGAAACACAGGAGGTTGGAAGATAATCTGTTCTTACTGATGCAGTGCATCGAAATAGCAGAAAAAGAACACAGGCCCCTGTGGCTAGCATTTTTGGATATCAAGGGAGCGTATGATAGCGTGGTTCAAGAGGACTTGTGAGGAATACTGGGCACCCCAGGTGTGAAAGATGGAATCACTAATCTTTTAAAGGGCATCTATAAAGATAACAAGGTAGTTATAAAGTGAAAAAAACAGGTATCCAAGCACACACAGGTAAAACGGGGGCTTGGGCAAGGGTGTCCTCTGTCACCCTTGTTATTAATGATGTACCTACAAAGATTAGAGGCCAACTTAGAAGGAAGTGAACTTGGCTTCAACCTCCCTTTGGTCAAACAAGGAAAACTTATTGATCAGGTACTACCACCATTAATGTACGCAGATGATATAGTTAATTCTATTTGTTAGTTAATTAGTTAATATAGTTAATTCTATTTGTTATTTAGGTGCTAATGGCCAACAACAAGGAAGATTTGCAGAGATTGATGGACATCTGCGGTAATGAGGGAGATAGGTTAGATTTTAGACTCAGTAAGGAAAAATCAGCAGTCATGATTTTCAATGACAACGAAGGTAGTGAGCTTAGAATAGAGGAGGTCACGCTAGAGATAACAGATAAATACAAATATCTGGGCGTATGGATAAGCAACGGGACCGAGTATCTGAGGGAACACGAAATATACGTGACGACTAAAGGTAACAGGAATGCAGCAGTCATGAAAAATAGGGCACTATGGAATTACAATAGGTATGATGTTGTGAGAGGAATATGGAAAGGGGTCATGGTTCCTGGGCTGACGTTCGGCAATGCGGTCTTGTGTATGAGATCAGAAGTTCAAGCAAGATTAGAAATTAAGCAACGTGGAATAGGTAGGCTTGCTTTAGGAGCTCACGGGAATACACCAAATCAGGGAGCACAAGGTGATATGGGATGGACATCATTTGAGGGCAGGGAAGCTAGCAGCAAGATAAAATTTGAGAAGCGATTGAGAGAAATGGGGGAAGAGCGTTGGGTTAGGTAGGTTTTCAGCTACTTGTACATGAAGAATGTCGATACAAAATGGAGGAAGCGAACCAGGAAGTTGACTGGTAAATACTTAGAAAACAGCAGGTGGCCAAACCAAAAAGAACTATCGGTTAAGAAGAAAGTGAAGGAAACGGAGACTGGCATGTGGAGAATGGGCATGATTAAGAAGTCCGTGTCATAATATGTGCTGCGCGGGCGCGAAACAGAAACTAAAAAAACGACAATAGTGTGCCGTGCGGTGGCGAAGAGGATGTGATGTGTGCGTGTATGTGCCGGGCGGTGCCTACGAGGAAGACGACAGCTCGTGAGGCGCGGCCTCGAGCGTGGGTGACCCGTGCCTTCGGCAGTGCGCGAGGTACGTCGTTCGAGGCAGGACTACCTCGTTGGGCGTCTGGCCCATAGGTACGACCCAGGCCACGTCGCGACACTCGTACTAGCCGAGTGGACAGCTCAGCCTCCGCTAGACGACCGGTCTAGGAGAGCTGGCGCCTGGTTCCTGAACCTGTCCTTGTCCCGCTGGTCGTGGAGAGCTGGCGCCGGGTGCCTGAACCTGCCCTTGCGCCGCTGTTCCAGGAGGGCTGGCGTGGGTTTCCGAGGCGGACTACAGGTGCTCAAGGGCACAACTCCCTGCCGCCGGAACACGTGAGTCGTCGGCTCCAGTTCGTCGACAGTGGCGCTGAGCCACTGGAGTTCGACGCGGCGACCCTGCGTCTCCCGACTTCGTCACTGCAGGTGACGACGCCGCCCAACGTCGACTTCGCCACTGAATGTTGCCGACGGGGCATCAACGACGGCCCAGGCTACTACCCCGACGACCTGAACTGTAGGCCGAACGTTCTACTTATTCATTTAGTTTAGCCGCGTGTTTTTGTGTTAGGAACTTCGTAATGTGTGGGTTGTCCATGTGTGAAGGGTACAATAGAAGTTGGACGTGTGTTTGTGCAATGGCGTGCTGTCTGATTCTTTCTGGAGCGGTCCTGCCCCAATAACATCACAAACTGGCGAGCCTGCCAGGATCCGCTCGTTAAACCAGGGAAAGAAGACAGTTTCGCTCGAGGCAGACACACGTTCAGACTGCACCATGGACTTGGAAAAACTCGCCGCTATAGGGCTCCAACTAGGGTTCTCGGGTGCAGAGCTAAACAAGTGGATTGAGGCCCAACAGGCTAAGCTAAGGGATGAGAGAGCTGCAGAGCGAGAGGCAGCCAAAGAAGCTGACGAGAGGCAGCGTGAAATTCTGCAGCTTAAGCTAAAGCTTCAGGAAGGAGCTCAGAATATGCCTGTAGCAGCTAATGACGCTTTGACTGCGCCCAGCACCTCCTCACCCCTCAATCCGCAGAAGTTACTGCCTGTATTTGACGAGAAACGCGATGATCTGCACGCGTATCTGCAGCGATTCGAGCGCGTAGCCACAGGACAGGATTGGCCGCAAGAAAAATGGGGTCTCGCTGTTAGCCTGTGCCTAACGGGTGACGCGTTAACCGTGATAGGCCGAATGACTGCCGCTGATTCGCTGGACTACCAAAAAGTAAAGAAAGCTCTACTGCAGAGATTTCAGTTTAC